CAGCTAAACCAGATACCAGAAGGAAACTATGGGGATAGTCTCCCAACAGAAGGAAAACTAATTTCTCAGTTCTCCCAACCAGACCAAAGAAGCGTCCTTCTTATGGCGTGTTCTACATGATAACAGCAGCGTCCTGCCCATGTGTTTGAACACCTTATTACAGTTACCAGTGCATGCAAGTTAAAACCAAAATAAATACAGAATAAATACCTTTGATCATGGGAATTTTATCCACCCCTGCGAGAAGCCAACGAAGACAGGAGCCCCCCCCTTTACAGGTAAAAGCTTACCTTTAGCGCGCCTGGAGTGGGGTCCTGACCTTTGATGGATTTCACAGCCGAGGGATAGAAGTCCCATCTGAGGTCGCCAAATTGATGCCCAAAAAAGCAGATAAAAACCTGTTTAGACAGGGTTTTATGTCTAAAGCAGCAAGGTATTTATTTATTGACAGCCGGGCAGCCTGCCACCTAGTGCTGGGAAAACAGGCTCCGAGTTGGTTAGGTTAGAATGAGTATTTTATACAGGTTTGGCAATGATTACAACATAAATTACAATATTCATAACAGGTGGAGTTAGGGGCGGAGATTGAGGCGTGGTTTCCATTTTGAGGAATATTTTGGTGGGAGTTCCTGTTTGCCTTCATCCTGGGGGTTGCTTTTTTAATCCTCATCCTCACTTCACCTCGGGGACCTTTCGTTCTTTCTATTGTTTCGTGTTCTGTTCACTGAGGCTTCAAGAAAGCCTTGGCTTGGGGCCTATAACACCTATTGAGATGTCACCTTGGCTCCTCTGGATGAGATTTATGGGCGCTGGGTTCTTTGTTCTATGTATCTGTAAATATTTTAGGTCTGCAGAATTGGTACAGAACAAGATCTCCTTTGAGCAAGGTAGAGAAATGGGGGGGGGAGAACAGTGGGCCCCTGCAGCAAGATGCTTCAATTAACCCTTTTTCCTTCAAATTCACTGAGAACTCTACAGTCAAAAGCATTAAAACTTAGCAGGTTGATGTGGAAATCTTTCAGTGTTTTTTTTCAAGGACCTTGGTGCTGAGGGAGAATTTCTTATTCACCTTTACCTTCTCACATCAGCTTTTCCAGAAGCATGTTTCCTCCAGAACTTCATGCCAGAAACAACTGTGGCTTCATAAGAGTGTTGAAATGCTTAGTGGGACAAAAGCAGAAATCAAATTGAGTGTGGATCAGCAGATCCATAAGCATGAACCTTGCTTAAAATGAGGAATCAAAACTCATTTAAAAAATCACATGGATGTCCAAGAAATGCTGTGATGAACTGCTATTTAAACTGGAGACACAGTCTTGATGACTGGCATGAAAGAGCAGTGATGAACCGAAGACATGCCTGACAAGAGAAAGTGGAAAGTGGAGCTGCAGTAGCCCCAGATGTGTGTGTGGAGGCATGAAGGGCATGCAGGGACAGATCTCCCATTAAGACATCACTGGGTGGTGGAGAAGGATGACATCACTGAGTGATGGGTTGTGACATCACATCCCTCTCTGTTTATATTTGGGCACCAGCAGAGCTTCAAGCCTGGACTTCTGCTGAGTGTACCTGCACATGGGAGCAGCTCCTGATCCTCAGCTCTTCCCCACCTGCTACAGCAAGTAGACGTGGCCACAAAGATGAACTGGAGCTGCCCCATCTGTCACAATGCTCGGAATGATGTGGCTTCTGCTCTGCCTTGCCGTGACCAGTTCTGCCTGGGCTGCATCCTGCGGTGGGCAAAAGCAAATCCATGGTGCCCGCTCTGCAACAGACCTATAGAGATTGTCAGGTTTTCTGAGCGGAGTGAACGGGACTATCTACAGTTCGCCATCACAGCCCTGGAAGAGACAAGAGAGAACAGTAGCCCAGCAGGGAGTGCTCCTTTCCAGCTGGCTGAAAACAGTTCTGATGACTCTGTGGTGTCCCCTCTGTCTTCACCACAGGGGACACTGTCTCCAGCTGAGCAGAGGTCTGCAGGGCCAGAGTTCATGGGTGGCCTCCTGCCTGAGGTCTGGGCAGAACTTTTCCGTAGGCGACAGCAACTGCTGGACCCTGTGCTGCCCTGGCTGCGCCGGAGGCTGGCAGCAGTCTATCAGGACCAGTGGTGGCGAGCAGAGGCTGCAGAGGGCTCCATCCTGCATGGCCTCTGCGTCTGCGGTCCAGATGCAGAGGTCTTGGTCGAGGTGCTGGAACCTCTCCTCAACGGGCACACAGCATCGCTTATCCATGGCACCATTGATGTCATTTCAAGCCAGTGCAGTGAGGAGGCCCAGAGGCTGCTGTGCTTCTATCATGCCAGCACCACCTCCAGCAGCTCCAGCTGCACTAGCTCCTGGAAGGTGACTCTTGCCAGTGGCCCCACAGGTTCTGATGTGGAGGAGGAAGCTGCTACATCAGAGACCAACCTTCAAGGGAGTCCCAGCTGCCCTCCATCCATGTCCATGCGCTCAGAGCAGGACCAGCCCCAGGAGGAGCCAGGGCGGGTGGTGGTGGTGCCTGGTCCATCTGGTCAGGGCTGCAGCCTCTCTGTTCCTGACCAGGGCAGGAACCGCTCACCTGGAAAGCCCCGGCGTGGCCGAAAGAGGAGAGCCTCCAGACTCCAGAATTCCTCCCAGCCTACCAAGAGGCCACCCCGCCAGCGGCACTAGCGGGGCTCCAGGAACTCTTCAGCCAAGAAAAAGGAAATAAATTGCTATTTCCCTGACAAAGTCTCTGGGTGTTGCCTTTTCCCCCTTCTGATTCCTTTCCCTGACCTTCATGCCTCACCATCAGCCAAGGGCCCCCGGGGCCATTTCAGCAGCACCTTCTCACACAGGAAATCTGCTGCAGCTGTGGTGATGGAAGAGCTTCTGAACAAGCATCAAGGTGATGTTTCCTGTGGCATGGTGAGTGAAAGACTGATCAGGCATTTGTGATGAGAAAGGGAAAAAAATCCAATCGTGCCTAACACAATTTCTGCCCAAGGCATTAGTGAAAAACATATAGTTTGATAATGTACAGTCAGAGAAAAGGTGCCACCTGAAGATACAACCAATAGGAGTTCATTTAATCAGTGGGAAGAAAAGTATCTATGCATTAACGTAGAAAGGAGCATTTTAAAAAAAGGTCAGGAAGAAAGGGAAAGGTGCATCAAACTGGGGAGAGGAGAAAGAGATAATACTGGAAACACTGCCCGTATGGACAGTTGATCTTGCAGGTGTGTGTCAAAAAACTGAATAAACAACAAAACTGAAATGAACCAGCGAACCAAAAAAACCCCAAACCCAGCACCCTCCACAATGCCATTTACTCTAAATGGGAGAAAGATGAATTTAATGGGTGGACTTTTCAGTGGATGAGGAATTGGTTGGACAGGCACAGCCAGAGGGCAGTGGTCAGTGTCTTAGTTTCATGACGAATATCAGTGACAGGTGATGTCCCTTAGGGGTCCATCCTGGGACCAGTGCTGTTTAACACTTTCATCAAGGACATAATGGGATCGAGCGCACCCTCAGCAAATTTGCAGGTGACAACAAGCTGAGCAGTTGACATATCTGAGAAACAGGATGCCGTTTGTCCAGAGGGACCCGGACAAGCTCAAGAAGGTGCCCATGGGAACTTTATCATGTTCAACAAAGTTTTGATTGCAGTCCAGAAAGCCAACTGTGTCCTGGGCTGCATCCCCAGCATTGTGGGCAGCAGGACGATGGGGGTGATTCTGCCCCCTGTGCTCTGGTGAGACCCCACCTGGGACACTGCATCCAGCTCTGGGACCCCGAGCACAGGAAGATCATTGATCTGTTGGAGCCCCTGGTGCTGTGTTACAGGCGGGTTTAGAAGCGTTGCTTAACACAGAGACACCCAAAGGGACCAAAAGCAATTCCATTGGTGCCCCTGAAACTCCAAGCCCAAAAATCTCAGCAGGCACAGATGGAAGACAATTGCACGCTTCCTATTTCCTGTATTGACCCACTTCTGACACGTACAGCCTTGACAGAGAATGACAAGGGACAGCTCCCTCCCTGCCACACACCCAAGCAGCAGAGGGAACCCTCTGACTCTGGGACTCAGAGCACTATCAGCACCTGGTCCTGAAGTCACCAGTTTTGCTGTCATGGGAGCCAAGCACAAAATCCTTGCTGACTTCAGTGGGAGCAGCAGCAGTGCCTGTGTCTGATCCCCAGGTCTTTGGCTGGGCTGGGCAAATGAGACAGGCAGCACACAGCACCTAAAGGACTGGCCTTTAGAGAGAACCAGCTACCACTGTTCCCTGTTTCCCATATGTGGTAGTGTCACACCAACCTGAGGCACTTGGCAGCCCTCAATGCCAGCCCGGAGTTCAGATGATGGGCCACGGGATCCTGGAGCTTATGAACAAAACGGAGGGAGAGCCTCCCTGAGCAGACCAAGCTTCCAGTTTGAAAAGGCTGTAGTGAAGAGGCAGCTCAAAGGGCAGAGAAATGATGGTCTCAAGCACTTTAGCTGTGCCATCTCCACAGCAGCCACCGAGCACAGGGACAAAGGGGGCACAAGAGAGAGGGACAAAACCAATCAGGTATAGAGACTGGAAAGAGCGAGAACTGGGAGAGGTAACACACTGCTTGGTTTCTCTCTGCAGGGAAACTCTTCTCTGTTTGAAGGCCCTGAAAGGCAGGAAGGGCAGGGCAGTCAAAGGCAGCAGTTCTGCTCAGCTCCCTCTGTACTTCTCAGAGAATTGAAAACGAGCATTTTTTGAGTGCTGAGCTCGAGGTTGCCCCAGCTGTCCCATCTGTGAGATCCTGGATCTGAATCTCATGGAATTATTGATATGGGTAAGAACCAACTCACTGTGAGCATGTGTGTGCATGCAGGGAAGGGCTGGGCCTAGACCTGCAGGAATGTGGTAAGGCCTGCACATAAGGCTTGTGCTGAGGGCACAGGGCAGAGTCGGAAGGCAAGGCCTGCAGCCCATGCAGAGTACACGGCACAGCTGAAGGCTGGTGCTGAAAGTTGGGCTGTCAGTCAAGGCAGAGCTGCCTACACTGCACCCCTGCAGCCTGTGACAGGCTGTGGCCACAGCACAGCTCACTCTGTCCTGAAAGGCACTGCCCAGGTAACCTGCCTGGGAGGGAAAACTGAACTCTATAAATACTCGAGACTCCATGCAGTCCCTCTCTCTCCTTCCCTCTGGTCTCTCCTGCAGCCTGAACCATGCGAGTCAGTAACCATTTTTTTTCCTCCTCTCTCTCTTCTCTCTTCTCTCTCTCCAGCTGGCACCATGTGAATCATCAAATCATGTGAGTAACCATTTTTTTGTTTCCTCTCTCTCCTTCTCTCTTTCTTCTTTCTTTCTTTACCCCTTTCAATCTGTTTTCTTCTGTTACTCTTTTCCTTCTCTTGTGGGTAAATTAAAACAAATGAACTGTGTTTTACTAGAACTGGTCCACGGACAGCTGCGAAGCCGAGGCAGGCACAGAGGAGACATGTCTGCTGCGCCATGTAGGCATGGCAGTGTGATATCACCTGAGCTCTCTCTGGGCAGCTGCATCAGTTGTGGTGTGTGCAAGGCTTAGAGAGGCCGTGGCTCCCACAGGTCTAAACTGCACAAGTTGTCCCTCCCTCGTGTCCGCCACCGCTCCCATGGTAGAACTCACATCCCCAAAGGACATTCAGCTGCACATGAGCCTGTGGAGCAGCCCTATTCCCTGCCCAGTGTCTGCCCAGAGTGGTGCAGACACTCCCAACCTCTCCCTGGAGCTACAGGACAAGCAGGAGCAGAGCAGGCCTCCTTAGCAGTGGCAGCACCGTTCTGCCCCGTTTTGCCCTTCTCTACTCCTGCGCAGGCTCAGGGTCCCCCCACTCAGTGGATGCCTCCCAGACCCCCCCTCTCTGCTCTGCCAGGGCTGTGCTGAGGCTCAGCACCACGCAAGGCTAGGCCTGCTCTACCCACACCGTGCTCTTGACAGCTGTGCATCAGATGAGCCCTTTCAGAGCATGTACACTGACCTTTCTGCTCTTTTCAGATGAGTAAACCTCTCATGTAGGCCAAGAGACTGCAACTGGGGAGACAAATCCAATGGTCAAGAGCCCAAACACTCTGTATTCAGAGCTGAAAGGCCGTATCTCCACAGGATGTTGTGGTTTGGATTTGATGAAGGAAGGGCACCCTTTCCCAGGTCCAATCCATATCAAAAGCCCCATAAATGGGGCTTTCCATCTTTAAGAAACAACTGACAGTTCAGAAGCAGAGGTAGAGCTTTTCATAGCATGAGAAAGAAGGGAATCTTCCAGCGGAGTTAAGGTTTTAGAGAATTTTTAACTCCTACTCACAACAAACAGCAAACTGCAAATAACAAACAATATCAACAACAAAGCTATCTTGAAGACCTAAAATCTCCTGTCTGCCGTAAGCTGCTGCTGTGCAGTGATCAGAGGTGTCAGGCTGGAGGTCAGCGCAGCCAATGCTACAAACTGATGCTGCTCAAAGGAAAAAGAAGCTTGACTTCCCAAAGCCAGTTCCTTACAGGCTCAAGCAGGAAACTTGAAATTCTCACTGAGTTTCCTCTTCCCTAAAGACCTCAGCTATTTGAGAAATGTGAGGCATTCCTCAGGAAACTCTAAACCCTCCAAGAAATGTTGACCCCAGAAGGATTTTGGGCCCATGTTCTGCAAACCACTGACACAAGTGGCTGAGTGCAGAGGGACCTGAGCTTTGGCTTACAGGGAGAGCACTGTCGACCTTTCCATCGCCTGCCCCTCCCAAGCTGGGCTGGCACCTTCCTTCTCAGCAGGGACAGCCAAAGGCCTGATCTGCAGCTTCCTCTCTGGCACAACAACTTGGCATGTTTTTTCTCTGGGCCAGTTGCAGTAGGGCAAGGGGAGATGGGTTTCCACAAAAAGAGGGCAGATTCAGATTAGGTTGTAGGAAGAAAGTTCTTACAAAGAGAGTGGGGAAACACTGGCCCAGGTTGCCCAGAGAGCTGGTAGCTGACCTATCCCTGGGAGCATTGCAGGTCAGGTAGGACAGGGCTCTGAGCAACCTGATCTACTTGGCCACGTCCCTGCTCACTGCGGGGCTCCTGACCTAGGTCACCTTGAAAGGTGCCTTCCAAGCCAAACCAGCCTACAATTCTAGGGATGTTTCATTTCAAAAGCACCAAGTCTGGGGAGTAATAGGAGGGAGGCCCATCTGATGCCTCGGACTTCAGCCTCAGATGAGAAAGCCCTGGTATTTGCACCCTGCAGCCGCTTGACATTTTATCTCCAGAAGTTCCTTGGCAGACCATCGCCTGTCCTTGTCTGTCTTCAGGCAGCAGTTCAGAGAGTCTCTCAAGCAAACCGACTGTTGCCTAGGGTTCTGCAGCTTCAGAGTCTTTCCAGTGCTTATCAGCTCTTGAGCCGGAGGAAAAGGACACCCCAAGCTCTACCTGGTTCCTTTCTATGTACAACAGTTTTAGAAACCTTGTGGAGTTGGAGAGATCTTCCTGGTCCTGCAGCAAAGGGATACAGCACTGAGCTCAATCACAGACATTGGATGCCAGTCCCATTCACCTGACTGCAAAACAGGAATGCTGGGGCAAATGGAGCTCTTTCACTTTTCGTATGCTGTGGGGCTTCTTAAATTCAAACTGGGGACATCCAACCTGCTTTTCAAAGGTAATTATTGCATTGGTGAAGTTGCCCTGCAAACTGCCTGGCCTTCAGAGACAGAGCTCAGAGCTCAAAAAGCAGAACAGAAATGTCCAG